GGAGTAACCCAACTATGTCAAGTATCAATTTAAGGTTAGCTCTGAGTTATAGAGGCTTCAGGCACTTCCCTAGGCTACGCCAGGTTGCTTCCTGTATTCAACCTTAATATTCCTAATACTTTCCCCTTGAGGAAAGTGTTTTTTTTTGTGTGTATTAGCGGTTTCACTTCAATTTTATAAAACCTAATAGGACACAGTGTACATGGTAACTATGGTGATAATGTCGAAGAGATGGACTGGAGTGTCGGCGAAATTGTCGCGAGTCTTAACGAAGAAAATCTTTTGGAGAACACAATGGTGTATTTTACTTCGGATCATGGACCGCATTTGGAGGAGACTGTCGATTCAGGGGAGTACTGTGGTGGCTGGAGAGGGTTGTATACCGGAGGTATTAAAATGATTTAGCAAAATTTCCGAACGCACAACCGGAATTTTGGGGCATGTTCATTTGATCGCATTTCAGCAGAAACTCACCTGCGGAAGATCCGTATGTCCTTGTTAATCTATAAATCATTGTGCGTAATCACATGTAGAGGCGAGCGAACAAGTGGGATGTCAAGGATGTCAGTCAAGTTGGATAAAATATCCATTTATATGCTTCATTCCACCTGAGCGGGATGAATTTTTTTGGACCTATATTTGTGCTAGATATCATATTTTGCAAGATTGTAACAGATAAATTTAATGAAAATATTGCCGAATGTCCGCGAACTTTGTCGGAGAGCCTGCTGACTGCTAACCAACATTCTCCTTTTTTAGGGAAAGGTCAGAATTGGGAAGGTGGTATCCGTGTTCCAACAGTCGTTATGTGGAAAGATCATTTTCCTGAAGGTATTACGATCAACGAACCAACCAGCACAATGGATATCTTTACAACCATGACTAACCTAGCTGGAGGCAGTGTCCCTAATGACAGAATTATCGACAGCAAAAACATCCTTCCCTTGTTAAAACAAGAGGAATCAGTCTCCCCTCACGAGTTTATGTTCCATTACTGTGGTTCCTCGATACATGCAGTGAGATATAGGCCTCGGGCAGGTAATACCACCTGGAAGGCACATTTTGTCACTCCTATATGGTTACCGGGGAAACAAGAGTGTAAAAGAGAGGATATTGTATGTGGGTGTTTCGGCGATGAGGTTATGCACCATGATCCACCATTGCTCTACGATATCACCAATGATCCATACGAACGTCACCAGCTTGATACAAACCAGGATATCATAGTCAAGATAAACGAAGCAATGAAGAACCATAAATCAGGAGTGAAGCCTGTGCCATCTCAACTCTCATATCCCCACGATGTGTGGAGCCCATTTCTTCAACCGTGTTGTAATTTTCCGTATTGTTCTTGTGTTGAAAAAGCTTAAAATGTGCTCCGCAGTCTTCAGGTGATTCACAAAATTATTGATAGTAACACTAAACCGGTTAGCACTTTTTTCCATCCAGCAAACCGCCCTATCGATTTTGTAAAGTCGTTTCTTTTTGGATTTTTTTTATTAATTTGGTTGAGGTTAGGGTAAGGGGTTAGAGTTGGGGTAGGGTTTGGGTTAGTTACATAGCCATTTAACACCTCTTCCATCTTCCAAAAATGACGTCAGGTCAGTTTGCTGGATGGAAAATTGTGCTAACCCAGTAAACCACGGTTTTGTATTCTGGCTAGGTACGGTTAAATTCGTTCGCGCTTGGAATATACAATTGACTATGACAAATTATTTAATTAAAATGGTTGTATTATTCAAGAAATCAAACGACAACAAAGAGTATCTCCATTTTGTTTATTAGAAGTTATATTTTAAATTTTGAAGTGCTCTTTCATTGACTGGATTTTTCGAGGATATTTTAAGACCTGGCATGCCTGGTTTAACAATATATACCAGATAATAAATTTTTGTCTCAAACTTTCAATAGTACGTCCCTAGTCTACTCGGATATTAACGAACGGCTAATTTTACTAATATGATTTCATATGTACCTAGATATACCTAGCGACCACCAACTGTAGTCCAACCATCACTGTTATCCCCTTCTGGCTTCCGGTCACGATCACCAGTGGCACCGCTGCCCCCTTTACGAGCCGCCGACCATGAACGACCTAAAACAAATGATAGGAAATTGAAACATGAGTCCTTTTTCTCGCAAATACATTTCAAAAACTTCTCATATCTTTACAAGTGTAAGCACTAGCATGACCTACAGTGAAATAAACCAAGAAAATATATTTCACTTCCTGCCAGCAAAATCCAAAATAAAAATTTCCTGGGTAAGTTAAATATAAAACTTTCTGCATACAGTATGTAGAAATGTTTGCATCGTGATTACAGATTTTGCACAATTTTTACAAAGTTTTGCAATTTTATTTGAAATTAAAACTTTTTAGTATCGAGCTTGCTTATTACTTCCCAAAAACTACAATTTCGAGCAATCATCTCTAATTGTATGAAAATACCTTCAGAGCGTCCACCAGACGGTCCATCACGTCGCCATGGTCCTGGGTCCCTATCATCCTCTCGGTTCCTCCATCGTCCCCCACCTTCTCTGTCATCAGGACGTCGTGGGGGACCTTGATCATCTGGGTAACGGTCGCCTCCACCGGAGCGAGGAGGTGGGCCACGATCATCCCTAGGGGGACCTCGGCTGCCACGCCAGGAATCACCGTCTTCCCTAAACCCACCTAAAAAAAGCAACAATAATTAGTCACTGAGCAGTTGTAAGCCCGCCACTTCTTTACCCCCAACCTCCATCAACTGATCAACACAGAAGTGAGGGGCAGCAACTTACCTCTGGGAGGAGGGCCATCACGTGGAGGGCCATCACGTGGAGGGCCATCACGAGGAGGGCCATCACGAGGAGGGCCATCACGAGGCCCTGGGCCCCGATCACCACCGTCACGGTCTCGACCCCATGCTGGACGGTCACGATCATCCTCTCGGTTAAAACCACCACGTGGTCCGCGGTCTTGATCACGATTCCATGCGCCACGGTCCTGGTCACGACCCCAAGCACGTCCTTGATCACGATCTCTTCCCCACGCACGACCTAGGAAAACACGAGAATACCTATTAATCGGCTCATCTCTACAACATTTACAGTCATCGAACTAGACCAGGGGCGGCGGAACAGGGGGGGCTAGGGGGGCTAAAGCCCCCCAGAAGTAAAAGTGGGGGGCTTAGCCCCCCCCAGAAAATTTGAATTTTTCGAAAACATTTTGAAAATTAGGGAAAAATTTAGGTTATTTTTTGAAAATTTAGGTATAAGGAGCCAAATTTGCAATATTGTGTTTAAAAAAAGCGTATTTCCGAAAAAATTTTTTGATATAAGTCCGGAAAAAATTTTTTCGTCCCTTTTTTTGTATATTATACCCCTAAAGTGGTACACTGACCGAAATTTTTTTGGCGACGGGGGGGGGAGGGCGCCGAAAAAATTTAGCCCCCCCAGAACGAAATCTGTTCCGCCGCC